ACCACATACTTTCCGATTCCCTATTGTTCAGCATTATCCAGCATCACATTCGTAACCGCGCCCGTACCCCTTTTTTTAGCATTCTTCAGCACGAGATCGCATTGCGCCCCCTAATTTTTTTATTTACTAGCACACGTTGTCGATACTGTAGATCATAACGCATTATCCAGCACACGTTGTCGATAATATATATTGCGACGATCTTCCAGCATATTTCAGCACAATCGTTCACGTTCTTCAGTATAATAGACCACGCCACTTCTTCTTTAAGCTATCTTTTACTGTTGCTTTGCCTATTAATGTAATAAAGAAATTATATAGAATTAGAATAGTATCACTTCTAATATAGTGAAAGATATCAAAAATGTATAAAATGAATGTCTCTTGGATCTTTAGAGAGGGGGAGAGAAAAAAGAAAAGAAAGAAGAAAATAAAATTGTGTATACTACCTTTTCTCCAAGAGAAATACTTGTAAAAATCATTTTATTAGAATCATAATTCTAATGTGTTGGTTAGGTTCTTTCCATCAGAAAAGACAACATGTTGATTAGGTTCTTTTCACCAGAAAAGATGACATGTTGGTTAGGTTCTTTCCACCAGAAAAGATAATGTATTGGTTAGGTTCTTTCCACCAGAAAAGATGATGAATTGGTTAGGTTCTTTAGTCCAGAAAAGATGAAACATATCATTGATTGAATGATTTGATTGATCCAAGTATAAGACTTTTAGCTAGAAAAAGCACAAGAATAAAAAGAATAGATTAGTTAATAATTAATACACAAATTCTTCTTTATTCTGCCTCATAATTACCTTTGAAATGACCATATTAAATGATATCTATAGATGATAAAATTACTCTAATCACTCTCTCTTACTCATCATTACAGTTCACAATTTTCTCCAAATTCATAAAATTCTAACATATCTGTAACAATATCAAATCTATTAGTCTTTATTATATAAAAAGCTTCAAATTAACTTCATAATTATAAATATCCAAAAAATAAAAAATTTACTTACTATTCAAATTAAAGTATAATCTCAAGTAAAAGTACAAGTAAAAAAAAGCTTTAGATTAATATCAAAAAATAAAAATCAAATTTAATAATTATCTATTAATTAAATCAAAAAATTAGAAAGATTATGATAATTAGTAATCTCTTATAAACTTTTAAAAAATTATCTTTATTAATTTAGTAATATGATATACTTTTATGGCAAATCTTCATTAAAAAACTGCTAGTGAAAGGATTATATATATATGTAAGAGACAATTCATAATAGATAATTCAGAATGCAAATTACTATAATATAAATGTGTAAATATATCAAAATTAAATATTTTTGCTAATATTATTAAAACTATATAATTTAATACAGTTACTTTATTAAGAAATAAAGTGAGTGAAAGTAATTTTAAAGATAATATCCAAGCAATTATGATAATCATATTAAAAAAAAGATTAAAAAAAATATATATATATTTTATCTTCTTTAATAATTTCTATTTAAACCTCTGAATTTAAAGTATATTCTAACTATTATTATCCAAAATAATGATGAGCTTTTGCTATAATAATTCAATATACAAGTATATAACCTATAATTATTACTATAAAAGATACAAGAATAAAAAAGAAATTGATATGAATCTAATATCAAAAAAAAAGCTAAACTGGAGATTGATCTAAATATAGTTATTCAAAATACAAGCACTATAAGTAGTACTAATATTTCTCAAATTAATACCACCTTAAAAGAACTATTTTCAAAGCAAGATAATCTCATTGAAAAGCAAATAATAAATCCAGATAGTATTCAAAATGACCAATATGATAATGATCTTGGTAAACTTTTTTATAACCTAAATAAGATAGTAAAATATATTAATATAAAATTTCAAAATTCAGAAAATAATAATAAATCCATAAGATTAATTTTTGAAATAAAACTAGATCCATGACTTGCTAAAGTATTTCTTGTAATCTTCAGTTAGAAATATTTAATTTAGAAATAGTTAAGAATAACTTTCTTTAATTCATAAAGATAGTTCTTTTTGTAATTGAGATTAGATTTCAGTATTACTAGAAAATATATAATATATATCTAAATTACAAAGAGAAGAAATTTACTAGTCATGCAATAGTATATCTTGATTGCATATAATATGAAAATTATTAATAGTAAAGATCTAAAAATTAATCAGTAAAATATATAAGTAAAGTAAATATGCTTATAGTCAAAACTCTAATAAATAGATACACTTGTAAGAGAAATATTATACTTATTATTAACCCTTAATAATATTATATTCTAGTTTAAGTTCAGTATCTAGAAGTCTATCTGTATTTTCAGTATTAAAGAATTCAGTTTTCTACAAAGACAAAAGAATGGATTAAAAAAAATATTAAATATAATATTTAAAATTATAGGTTTTATAAATATCTTTATAATAAGAGACTTATTAATTCTGAAGTATATACAAAAGAGCAGATATATTATTAGATATCTGTTTTTAGTAAGAAGATATATATAATAGATATTAAAAATCAGCTTATATTAGCAAAATCTTATATTGAATAATCTGAATTTGTGACAAAAGATTTTAAAATTATTTACTATATTAAAAATAATTTTGTAAAGACTCTTGAATTTGTAATACTATTACTTAACTGTATTGATATTGAAAATATAAATAAAATTATTATAGATTCTATATTTAAAAATAATCAAGAGTGCTTCAAGCTCTTTATTATAAATACTAATTATGATAAATATGATATATCTTTAACATACTTATATCTTTTAATATTTAGTAGTATTAAACAAATACATCATAATTTCAAGAATCAAATTAATATAAGAGTATAAGTTTTCTGTTAATTTTTTACTAGTCTTTAAAAAATAGATCTATTATTAGTATTTTGTTTAGTTAACAAAGATGACAAAGAAATCTCAGCTGTAAGTGAGATATAATCAGATATCACTAATCTTCAGCTATGTTATTGACATCTTAAGCATATTATTAGCAAATGGTTAAAGAACAAGAAATTAAAAGCAAGTATATATATTGTAACTAAAGCTTTAGAAATTCATAAACAGTTTGATTTTATTAACTCTTTCTAAATATCAAATTAAAATATTAAAAAATTTATGTTCAGAAGATTTTATCAAAGAACTCTTGGACATAATAAAAAAATATGTGAATATACATTCATTCATACTAATAATCAAGAATATTTTCTAAAGTTTTACTAAGATCTATCAAAATTGTATAAAGAAAATTTACTAGTTTTACTATAGCTGTAATCTTACTAAATTATGAGAATATCTATGGATAAACTGATATAATAAAAAAAACTAAAAGCTTTTTTCTCAGTTAGTATATCTAATTACTATGTCATTAGTATGAATTACTATAATTACAGAAAGTTATTGGTAGATTCTTAAATATAACTATAAATATAATTATAATTAACCATATCTGGACTATCTTACTTAAATTCTTATAGAATAATTGATATCTAATTTTAATCTCAAAATGAATTAATTTAAAAAAAATTAAATATTTCCATCATGATAGGATGATTTTAAAATTAATTAAAGAAAAGTAATAATCATGAAAATTCAGTCTGACATGGATAAAAGCTATCATATTAATGTAAATAACTAGATATATTCTTGCCTAACATATCTTCATAGCTATTATCTTATCTGCAAGTATCTTATTGCTAAAAAGAATGATATTCATTTCTGATCTATCTTTTTAGAAATAACATGTTGATATGATTATCCTTTACTTACTTTTGAAAAAGATAAAGTATTAATAATTAATTTAGTAAATAATTTCTGATCTTAATATAAGATGAATAATCTTGATAAAGAAAGTGATAACTTATAAGATATATTAACAACTGATTTTGTTGAAGAAGAGAGCTCAAGTATTATTAACTTATCAATAACTATAAGATATAATACAATTAATGAAAGATGAGAAAAGATTACTTCTTATAAAAAAACTATGGAAACTGCATTTACCTTATATGAATAAGAAATAGATAATGATCACTTTGTAAAAATACCTTTGATAGCTTGTTGAAGTCAGTAGTAAAAGTGGTTAATAAGTGTCAGGAGATATTATAAGTTTATAGTCAACAAGGAACTGAAAAATCAAAAGAAAAAAAACTCATATTTTGGTTATATTAATTCTAGAAAAAAAAGAAAATTAAAGTCATTTAGCATGTTATAGTATTGTAGTAAAGCTAATAATAAAGCTATTATTTTCTTGACTTGGCTAATTAAAGATCTGCAAAGTGTGCCATTACTCCAGCATCAGTCGTAATAACGTGATACAGCCGAGTGCTGGATATTCGATCGGAAAATCACGTGACCGATACTTTTTTTTGCCGTGGCTAGGGTACTAAGTGACGTGATAACCCCATACGAATTTTAACATCAGATGAATTTAATGATGCGACGCTACTAGATAATGATGGCGAAATACCATCTATAAGGCAATTTAAAAAAAGGGCCAATATGAATAGGAGATAAACTTATAGTATTAAAAGCACTTCATACAACTAAGATTTTGACAATAAATTTATAAACGAAGCAAATTATATATTAATTTGTTTATTGATAAATTAAATTATACTTAACATCAAACTTAATATTTAAATAATACTAGATTTCATGTCTTTTTACTATGTCGATATACCAGTATGCACGAAACATCCAGGCACTTCATGTTATATGATGGTATTAGAATACGCTGCATGGCAATCTTCACAGATTTCTCAGGAAAAATCACCCATTAAGTTGGGAAATAAAAATCAAATTACTTATGGCATTACATATTTTCATCAAGGTGGTTATGCACATAGAGATTCACATATAAGAAATAGCTTGCATACCGAAACTGGAAATTTCTATATTAGTGAGCTTCGTCTAGGAATAATGTTAATATAATAAGTTCAGAAATCAATGGAGTAATACCTTATACAGCACCAGAAATAACTTTCCAAGAACCATACACGACCAAATCAAAGATTTATAACGTGGGAGTGTTGATGTGTGCAATTCCCGTGGGAAATCTCCATACGAAAATATTCGCCATGATATATCTTTAGTCCTGAATATATACGACGACAAAAGACAGAAATTATTCCTGGAACACCAAAACCATATCGATTCCTAATGCAACGATGCTGGGATACAGATCCGAAACGAAGACCAATTGCTGAAGAAGTCTATAAAACTTTTTCCGATTGGAAGACCCAAAAAATTGGTCATGGTGGGATTAATATCAACGAACTCGAATTGTCACTCAATTTTATCAATTGGAGAAGTGGATGTTCAAGCTACATCAGAATTATCACAAATGAAAATATGTTAGAGGATCCAGAAGATTTTAAAAGTTCAGAGTAAATTTTTTATTCAATTTTATTTATCGCATTTAAATTGGAATTTAAAGCAAATTGATATTATGAAAAATTTATATTGTATGTAACAAGTATAATTTTTACATACATGTACGATATTTATACTCTTTCTAAATAAAGATATCAAGTTTTATATTTTTCAACGCTTGAAAATCCGTGACTTGTCCAGTCACTTACATCAGCAAAACTAAATCCCATAAGTCTTGCTTTGGATTTACTAATTGTGACTTTCACATAAATTTCATATGATTTTTGCTTATAAAATTCACACTTTTATGTTGCACATAGAATTCTTTTAACTTTTATTATTATTAATAACAATTAATTTTTTTAGCCACACCTCTTTCGCAAAAACATTTATACTTTGTATGTTCTGCCCCATGACGTCTTATAGATGCCTAGCCCTATAGAATAGAAAGTAGTTAGTGAAACAAAAAAATATAAAAGAATGACTCTTGCAAGACAGAAAGACAAGTCTTTGTATGATTTGAAGAAAAATAATAAAATTAAATTATTTTTAACTCTTACCTAATATTACTTTGGATTTTATTTCTTTTATATCTTAACAAAATCAATAGTTTTAATTCTTTTATGCTTAAAAATTAGAATGTTTATGGCTTTCTTCTATCTGATTTGAATATTTAAATAAGCTTTTCTCTTGTCCTGCTATTTCAAAAAAGTCTATTTTTAATTTTGAAATTATTATAATTTAGAAATTAATATAGTTATTTAGTAGTTATATTCTGTTAGTAGTTTAAATTAATTGAAAATTATTATTTTATATCTTATCTTTGCCATCTCACTATTATTTCTGTTATATCTATTTTAATAGTATTATAAATGTTTTCTTTAAATCTGTTTACCTTATTAATTGTGCAATTTTCATATAGATTGACATAAAGAATCTTTAGAATAGTGATATCTACTCCATTTAAATCATTCAATCTAGCTTTTATTCTTGTTATATTCATAATTTCTTAATTTAACTAACTTTTGAATTGAATATAATAGTAAATTTGCAAAGATTAATAAAGATTAAATTTTTGTTACTTTATAGTAATAATAATATTATTATAGTAACATAAAATTCTCTAATTTCATAATTTTTTCTTGATTATGTGAAATTTTATTTTTCTATAATTTTATAATTTATCATATAATTATTCTTATTTTTCTATAATCATACATTTATTTCTTTTATTATATTTATCCTTTATAATCATATTTCTATTTTTAAATATTATATTTTATTCTCTTAATTTAAGATTTACATTTTTGATTTATATATCATATATTTTTTATATATTTGATAGAATAGAGTACTTGAAAATCTTTTTAATTTTTGATGAAATAATAAAATATTAATATTTTAAATTAATATTGATATTTATAATATTAATAGTTTAAACATTAATATTTTAAATATTAATAAAATATTGATATTTTGAATATCAATATTTTGAATATTAATATTAATAGATTATAGCTCTTTATAATATTAATATATATATTTAGATAGTATTAACTAGTAATACTATATAATTTATGTATTTGAAAAATATATAAAAGAATCTGTTATTCTAGCTTGAAATAAATAGTTTTAGATTGAATTATTTGGAAAATATAATTAAAAAGCTTATTATCATAATAATAGTAATCTTTTTAAATTCTTTTTCTAATTATACTAGTATTCTTTCTCTTACTTAATTTTATTTCTTTGATTAAATAAAGTTAATTTTGATTTAAATATAATATTATATTAATTTTTGGTTTTTAATATTATTATCGTAGTGACATAAAATTTCTTAATTTCTTAATTTTTCCCTAGTTATGAAAAATTACATTTTATTATAATTTTATTTATTTTATAATTATTGTTATTTTCTATATTATTTATTACTATATTTATTATCACGTTTCTATTTTTAATATTATATTTTATTTAATATTTGGGA